AGCTTTGTACCGGGAAACAAGACCAAAGGGAAGTCTCCTAAGTTGTCTTCTCCATGGGAAGGCCCATATGACATAGTGGATCATCTCTCAGATGTGATTTTCCAAATAAAATGTGGTCAGCGAGATAAGCCAAAGGTGGTGCATGCCAACAGGCTTTGGCATTATCACGGTCCAGGACATTTCAGTTGGAACGAAGTGAACAACGGAACAAATGACACTGCTGAAGACGTGTCACCTGAAAAAGCCACTGTCGAAGAAGAAACTCAACCCAGTTTTGAGAAGGGAAACAGTGAAGCCCTTAATGAAGTTACTATCACTGATGTGACTGTTACTGATAATAGGACATTTCCTGATGGAGCAGATGAACCCCACGTGAAGCAGAAGCCAACGAGACAGAGACCAGTACGGAAGAAGATACTCCCGTAAAATTAAGAAATTTGTTGAATTTTAATTTTGTGTTTGTAAATTCTGTACATTTAATTAAGTTATTATTAATTATCTATTGGTTTAATGTAAGTGGCAAATGTGAAACAAAAGTCATTGTTCAATCAGATACAGCATGTACACAAGGTGAAGAAAACCAATTTTTCGGCAGCTTGGGGATTCACCGTAGCAGGAAATGATCATGAGGAGATCCTTTCAGTTTTAGGAATACCATCTATGAGTGCCAAAACATTCCAAATAAATACAAAGAAAAGTACATGTGTATAGTTTTATGATTTATTTATTTCCACAGTACCAGTTTTTGTTTTTAGTATAGTATAAAATATACGTTTTAAATTAAAACAGTACTTTGCAGCAGTATCTATAAATGATAATTATCACTATTAGTTTTTCAGACTTTTAGTATTTATACATTATAAAGTATGACTGTAGTGGTCAGTTTTACTTGAACATTGAATATGTATAACTGTTTCATACATCACATTTTTTGTTTATAAGAAAGGATAATTTTCCATACTGTATGTCTTTTCTATTTTGAAGCAAATGCTAATGATCTTTATGAGATAAAAATAAAAAGTTCTTTTTGTACTCGTAATATAAATACAGAAAATGTCTATAAACAGTAACATAAACTGTCAGATAACTATATACATTTGTGAAATCTTATTACAACTTAGAAATAGATTTTTTCATACATACAAAGAATGTATACAGATACAAATGGAAGAAGCAGGAAAAAAAAAATTTGATTATCTCAACAGGCAGGGAATGTGGATCCAGATGAAGTTCTATGAATAAAAGTTATTGCTTATGGTAGCTGTGGAACAAGCTATGGTCATCGTTATACTTCTAATACTGGAGTCATAGTCATAACTGTTCATTGCACAAGAAAGATACCGTTTTTTGGCAATCAAAACAAATATTGTTACGCATGTGCCACCGATGAGAAAAAGGGAACAGCAACTGAGTACACATGCTATTGAAACTGGAACGAATCATCATCTGCTCAGGATCCTGATGTTATTGTAGAAGGTTTCTGTAAGAGTGAACCTATGCATGGAGTAAGGTATAAGGTACTAATTAGTGATGGTGATTCAAGTGTTTATAAAAAAAGAGTTTTGGAAAGAGTACTTTACGGCCAACCAGTCGAGAAGGTCGAATGTGTCAACCACATGGTCAGAAACTACACTAAGGTATTGCATAACATTGCTAGCGAAAGCACAGAAAATGCAAAATACCTATCAAAGTAAAAAATAATTGGCCTCAAAAAAGTGCAAGAGGAACAATTCGATACAACAATAAAAATTCCAGTGGTGTACAAAATCTGTAGATGATTTAAGGAAAAGTCCATATGTTTTTGGAAGCCACGAAAAATGCAAACCTTATTTTTGTTCATCAGCAAGCAACAAAAATGAAACAAACAATATCCTAACAATGCCTCGTTCCCTTCTCACAAGAATTATGACTGCTGTAAACATACTTGTACAAAAATCTGATGGACTGATTTCAAATGATACTAGCAACCTTGCCAAATCATATATGCACATTGTTAAGAAATTCATTGGTGGAAAATAAATCAATGGGTCTCATTTGTATTGTAAAGATGCTAGGTTATACTAACTGGGACCCAAATGGCACACTTTAGCCTGGAAACCTTGTTTCAGCAAAAGTCTATCTGCTATTTTGAAAATATGCAGCAAAAACAGGGATACAGTAATTTCACTAATGAAGACAGCTGCAGATGCCCAAGGCAAAAAAACAAACACTGAGAGAAAAATGCTGTGAAGCTCTTAGCAAACAACTTTGACTATGGACCAAATAATCAGCAACAGAAAATTAATATGAAAGAAGAAAAACTGAATTTCTGAAGGAATTGCAGGTATCAAAGGAGATTAGGGATAATAGAGAGCAAAAAAAGGGACAGTAGAGAAACCTAAAATGGAAAGAGGAGAGCAGTAAAAGATTGACAGCTTCACACTTTGGCAACATATGCTAGATGAGAGAGACAACATGTAACTGCCTCAAACTGTATTTTGTACAACTTTAACCTAAATACACCAGCTGTTGAATATGGTAGACAAAATGAACAAAATACAATTCTTGCCTGTACCATTGCTACAGGTATAACTGTCAAACCTTCGGGCCTATTCGTAGATGTTGAAAACAGATTCCTTGGTGCATCACCAGATGAACTGACTGGAGGTAATAGAATATTAGAATTATCCAATAAGTGCCAAGTGCTTCTCTACTGTGGAAAATGATAATCTGAAACTGAAAGAACTTCTTAGTTATTTCTATCAAATTCGAGGGCAGCTGCATATTACAGGTAGAGATTTTTGTGACTTTGTTCTGTGAACACCTAACGAGATAAACATTCAGAGAGTAAAGAAAAAGAAAAATCACAATTTTTTGGAATCAAATATGTCTCCCAAGGAGCACCTTACATTGTTGAGGCCAAAAGAAAAAACAAAATTTACATTAGATGAAAATAAGTGGTTTGTTTTCTTCACCACGTGTACAACTTAAAAATAAACCATCTAAGACTAATCAGTAAATAATATATCTCTTTAGAGACTTTCATTTATGAATAAACGTAAAGACACGCAGTATTTACGTACAATTTGTGTAAGCTATATAAGGATTTTATAGACACATTCACAGAATACCTATGGAATAAAAAGTAGAGGTAAGACTGAGTATTTGAATAATTCTAATCAAACAAGTATTCAAAAAACAAACTAATGAAAAATAATAAAAAACCTTGCAAACTTTAATGTAT